CTCAGCCTCCTCATATCTAACCACTCTTGTGCAGCAGGAAGGTCGCAGAAAAGAGGCAAAAGAGTCAGCAGCAAGAACAGAGGACAATACAGACTTTCCAAGAATGCTGCCCTAATATACTATAGCTAGCAATGACATTTCTAACCCGTTTCACATTTCTAACTTGGTATTTCTAATCCGTTTTATATTTCACAAGCTTGGTAAAAGTAATCATGTTACCTCTGCATAATTTAGGTTTCAGAAAGGAAGCATGGCAATTCTAAGAAATAACAGAAGTCCAAAGATTAAAGAGGTAAAGAGGTTCTTACGTGCCAGTACCTATAAGATAGGCTGCCTGTCTCCTAGCAACCTGGAAATGTAAATTTTGATCATCCCCCACCACAGCAACAGATAACAGAGAAAAGAAACTCTAATCATCTCAGAAACCCCAATTTTCTCTCTGGTGAGGAAAAAAGAAACATTTCCAGGTGAAATTTTTTGCTCCATTAAAATTCACTACTTTAGAATCATGAACTAATACAGAGCACTTCAAAAAGTTCATGGAAAGATTCATATAAAGGCTGGCAGGTGCCACACCCCCCCTACCATGTCAGCATCCAGCCCAGCCATGACCACTAAGAAGCTGCCAGAAGTGACCCGGACTCCCTGGGTAGGGCTGGCCCAGGGCCTCAGCCATGCCCTCACCCCTCACAGTCCACATCCAGCCCAGCCATGACCTAGCCACCACAGGAAGCCCCCTGGACTCCCCTGCCGAAATGAAGGGGTTGCCATGGGCCTCAACCACACCCCCCTCCTCTTTCTCTCACCCTATCCACCTCCCCCTTTCCCTCTCCCCCTCCTCCCAACTGCTCCTCAACAAGATCTTAGAATGTAAAAATAAATAAAGGCTGGCAGATTAGCTCAGTGGGTTAGAGCATGGTGCTGATAACAAGGTCCAGGTTCAACCCTGTATTGCCAACTGAGGGAAAAAAAAAAAAAAAAGGAAAAACAAGAACAACAATAAAAAACACCCATTATGACTGTGGGGGTTCCACATACTGGGATGATCTGAGACCTCACTGCACAGCCTTCCCACTCTGGCTTGTTTCTATAATGCTGGTAATAAAATTAGGCTCCATCAAGGAAGCTGTTTAAAATAAAACACTACAATGTGAGGGAGAAAGAGGCAATCACTTCAAAGAAAAGGTATTTAGTGACCACCAT